CGTGACGTAGCTGCTCACCGGCGCGAACGTCTGGTCGTAGTCGGCACCGTACACCTGTGTGAAGCCCTTCACGACCAGCCTCGCCTTCTCTCGCTCGACGGTGTTGTCGATGTGGTACTTCGTCGTCAACACCCACCGGTTCTTCATGACGTTCACCCCCGGCGGGCGTTCGACCAGCTCCCAAGTGCCCATGTTGATGAGGCTCCGAATCTCCTCCTCCATGGCGGCCTTCACCGCCGGGCCCTTCCAGCTCGCCAGTGCCTCCTTCACCGTCATCGTCGAGATGTCCCAACGGTGCTCGGGGTCAGCTAGCATGTCGGGGTCGAGCTCCGGAAACTCCTCATCCTCCTCGGTGTCGTCGTACAGCAGGTCGTCGTCATCGTCCACGTCATACACCGTGGTGAAGGCAGCGGGGACAAAGAAGTAAGGCGGCCTCCGAAGTCGACCTGAACGCCGTGGTCCTTGCTGGACCTCCGTGGCGTCTCCTCCATCGTCACTTTCGTCACTGCCCTCGGCGTCCTGCTGCTCCTCAGCCGGCGTCCCAGCCGACGGCTCCACTGTGGTCGGCTTCCCTGCCGACGTCCCGATCGTCGACTGCTCCGTGGTCGGCTTCATGACAGCCTGCTCCCTTGTCGGCTGCTGCTCCCCGACCTGCTCCTCCCCTGTCGACTTCAATCCCTCGTCGATTCGCCGCTCGTCACGTCGGCCACCGGCGATGCACTTGGCCGGCGCCGAAGGCGGCGTCCCACTACTCCCCTCATCGCCGGAGGCCGACATCGAGGTCAGCCTACGCAGGTCGGCCACGAGGGGAGGGGCAGGGGTCAGAGGGTGAGGGGTAGGGGTGTGGACGTCCTCGACGTCCTCAACAGCAAGCTCATCGACCTCGGCAAGCAGCGGCAGCGTCGCCGACGAGGTGTCAGAGGGTGGCAAGCGGCCGGACACCGGCCCATGCTCCGTCTTCCACTCGGCCAGGGACAGCTCCTCGTAGAACACCACGTCCGACGTGGTGACCACCCGGTCAGTGGCGACGTCAAGAAGCTCCCAGCCCTTGCTCGCCTCTGACACACCAAGGTGTAGGCCCCACTTGGCCTTCGGCTGCAGCTTCCCACCACCCTGCTGCTCAGGGACAAGGAACTGCGCCATGCAGCCCCACACCCGCGCCAGCGACAAGTCGGGCTTCTGCCCTGTCAGCAGCTGGTACGGCGTCGTCCCCGGCGGCAGCGTCGACCGCTCAAGGCAGTTGCGGACCCAGACGGCCTGCCGCAGAGCGAGGTGCCACCAGTGGTGCTGCACGCCCATGTGCAGCAGCATTGTCCGCACCGACTCCACCACCGTCCTCATCTCCCGCTCCGCCATGCCATTCTGCTGCGGGGTATATGGGCAGGTCAGGTCGTGGACGATTCCCGTGTCGTTCACGAAGTCAGTGAACTGCTTCCCGAGGAACTCCCCTCCCCGGTCGGAGCGCAGCATCAGCACCGACTTCTTCGTCTGCCGCTCAGCCACCGCCACCCACTGTACGAACGCCTGCAACGCATCGGACTTCTTGGCGACCGGCTTCACCCACACATAGTGGGTCTTGCGGTCCTTCAGCAGCAAGAAGTACAGGCTGCCATCCTTGGCAGCCATGCGGAATGGCCCGCACAGGTCGATGTGTACGACGGCCAGTACGTCGTCGGCGTTGGAGCCTTGGTCGGGGAAGGTGTGCCGCGTCAGTTTCCCGCCGACGCACGAGACACATGGGGAGTCGGCGTCCGCCGCCGACTTGAGGTCCAGCCCAATGGCGACCTCGTTCTTCGCCGAGCTCCGTATGGTGTCCATGCCGACGTGCGCGAGCCTCGCATGCATTCGGTCCGGCGTCGACTTCGTCTTCGAGACGATCGCCCGCAGAGCCACAACCTCCTTCGTGGGCGGCGTCGACCTCGTCGCACAGGGACGCAGGTCGGTGCAGAGGACTCGTCCGGTGTACGTCGCCCGCCCGAGCACCTCCCCTGCTGCCGAGACGAGCAGCATGCCGTCTCCATCCTCCTGCAGCTTCACGCCATGCTCCTTCAGCTGGCCGGCCGACAGCAGGTTGGCTCGCACACCCGGGACGTATAACACGTCGGGGATGAGGACCTCCTTCCCGGCCTCCCCTTGCAGAGCGACGGTGCCGCAGCCCTGGACATCCTGCAACGCCCCGTTGAAGCCGCGCACATGCCTGATGGCGCCGCTCGGCTGCAAGTCAACGAAGGCTTCCTTCGTCCCCATCAGGTGGTGGGAGCAACCACTGTCGAGCAGGACCACCGCCGGGTTCGCCTGCACAGCTGCCGCCACCGCCTGGAAGTCCTCTCCGGCCTCCGGCGCCAGAGAGATGGTCGGCTCCACGACGCCGACCAGCGAGCACGACGCCGTCTTGTCGTCTCGCCCTTTGCCGCCAGCAGAGGAGTCGGCGTCCTTCGCCGAAGTCGATGTCTTGGTCGACTGCTTCTCCTTGCGCGGCTGGTTTCCTCCACGACGAGGACGACGGCTGCCAGACCTCCCACGGCCTCCCTTAGCGTCGTCGTCGTCGGAGTCGCTGCGGTCGGGGCTCTCGAAGGAGAGATGGTCGGGATCGCCGCACAGCCAGCATTCCCGACGTCGACCTCCTCCTCCACGACCGCTGTCCTTGGTCGACTTCCTCTTGTCGACCTCCTTGGCCGGTTTCCAGCCACTGCTACCACCACCGCCAGACTGCCCGCGCTGTCCCGGTCGGCCTCCTTGCTTCGCTGAGGTGACCAAGTTTGCCTGCGCCAAGAGCTCCTGCGACCGCTCAGCCTCCTGCATCGCCTCGTCCTGCAGGATATACGAGGTCAGGTTGTCCTCGTTGAGCGTCGCCCTCGTGCTCGGCGCCATGGACAGCCGCTTCAGAAGGTTGTAGCTGCTAGAGAGACCTTGCATGACATGGGTGATGTACGACGCCGTGGAGTACTGCGCGCCGGCCATCCTAATGGTGGCGAGAATTCGCCGGGCCCGGTTGCAGTAGTCGGTCGCTGTCTCCTCGTCACCCATACGCAGGTGCGTCAACTGTCCCTCCAGCTGGGCGATGAACAGGTCATCGGTGACCTGGTACGTCGACTCAATGAAGTGCCACGCCCGGTGGCCGGCGTCGATGTACTCCCGGCACCACTTCAAGGCGATCTGCACGCCCGGCGAGCAGCACCGCGAGATGACCGTGAAGGTCAACAGTTGCACGGCGCGAAACTCCGCCCGCAAGTCGGGGTGGTGCTCCCCCGGCGTCGCCACGGTTCCTCGGGCGAAGCTGATCAGCCCGGCCATCTCCAGCTGGGGCTCGATGGCTTCCTTCCAGGTGAGAATGTCGGGTCGACTGGCCAGCGGAGGGGTGACTGAGATCCTGTCCGGCGTAAACTTGAAGTAGCCGTAGCTCGGCGCAATCCCACCCGCCGTCACCTGGGACGCTGACATCGGCGACAATCCACTTCGTCGTCCTCCGACGTCGCCCTGCGAGTAGCCTGCAGCCGACGACAACTGCACCCCTCGCGTCTGAACGCCGCCGACTTCACCGGCGTGTATCACACCTCTCTGCCTCGACGTGCCTCCAGCACTGCTGCCGACTTGACCACCGCCGGCGTTGACGCCCACGTCGACGCCGCCTTCGTTGTTCACCGGACGAGGAGAGGCAGGTCGAGACGGGTGCTCCGTCGCCCACATGGAGCGGAGTCCAGCCTCGACGACCGGCCAGGGCAAGTCGCCGTACTCGTTGGCCTCGTGCTTCCTCCTCGCGTTCTCCAACCGTGCCTCTAGGGTGTCCACCACCCCCGCGTCACCTACGGCTCCTACCATAGTGACTACCGCACAGTTGCCGGCCTGCAACTACGAAATAGGTAAGTGGTGTCTACGTCGACCTGACTGAAAGGTAAGTCGTGTGCCGTTCACGCTCACCGCACCATGCGGAGATAACTTCAGCAACGGGAGCTAGGCTACGGGCTAGGCACGTGTGCTCGTGTGATCTCTGCGTTCTTTGTCCCTTAGTCGTTTTCCTTGTGCGCACACTACTTGCTAGTTCACGGGGAAAATTGGCAAGAGTTCCACTAGGAAAAGTTCAGAACAATTGGTACAATGAAGTTGGCATAGCAAGACTACATCAGAGCAAACATTCAGGTCGGCCAACTGCCAGCGCGGCTTGGTCAACCGCGTTCCAGCACGACTTGGTCGACCGCGCTCCAGCAAGGCAAGGTCGATGGCGTGCCAACGTCGCAGGTTGACGGCGTGACAGCGTTGCTCTCGCAGGACAGCAGTGCACCCTACTTCGCAGTTGTGCGCAGATGATTGGCGCACAGAGCCTTGTCACCTGCACAGCGCACACACCACGTCAACCTCGAGCTGACGACTGCCTCTGATCCACCACGACGACCTCGGGATACCACCACCGAGGTCGGGCTCGCCAACTTCGCCTGGGCGACCGTCGCACTCCTTCGCAGCACTTCGTCACCCAGGTAACCTGGTCGACCAGGCAACCATGTCGACCAGCAGCTCCCGTTCATGCCCGTCGACCTCCCAAGTTGACGACCTTCTCCACGTCGACCTCACCAGGTCGACGACACCATCAGTCGACCTCCTCCAGGTCGACGTCCCCTCTGGTCGACCAGCCCCTTGTCGGCCGACCACCCGCGTCGGCCACCCGAAGCTGACGTCACCAAATTGACGTCCTCCGCAGGTCGACTCCCAAGTCGACCTCCCTGAAGTTGGCGCCACCCTGAAATCGGCGCCCGTGCAGTGGTCCCCCGTACAGATCGACCTCCTCGTCGACCAGCTCACCCACTGCTACAGGTCGGCTGCTCCCCTTCACACCCGACCACGAGGTCGGCACCGCCCAAGCGAGGACGGGGCCAATACCCAACTCCCGTTGACAGTAAAGACCTTACAGGGTGCAAGAAGGGGCCGCCGGACACGGTAAGACAGTGGAGAAGTGGGCAAGGACAGGACCCCCAGAGGGGTCTGCCAGGGAGACTGCAACCGGTTGACTAAGCGGCGTGAGTGTGGTGCGGTCTCAAGACCGCACCCGAGTCAAGGGTGAAGGTGTGCAAGGCCTGAGCCGACGTGGTACCTGAGAGAGTAGTCTCACCAGCACCTGGGGCAGCAGACTCACCAGCACCTGGAGTAGCAGACGCACTAGCACCTAGAGCAGCAGCCTCGCCAGCACCTAGAGCAGCAGCCTCAATGCCCGGGTCAGGCGGAACACACAGGTAACAGTCACCCTCATCACAAGTAGACACAACATACATGGCAGCAAGAATAGCATCATAATCCAGATCAAAGATAACAACCCCCGACCTAAGGAGCTCGCCCATGCGAGGGATCTCAGTGGCGTCAGGGAACTGGAGACGCCACGAGTCTGTCAGGTGGCCGAAGCAGCGCTGGGTGGTGTGCGGGCCACCGCACGGCTCACCAGTGCGGTCGCCGGTACGCAGGACGTAGGCACAGGGACCAGCACCCTCACCCTGCTGACGCGGAGCGTACCACTCACGAAGCTGCTGGGGGGGCGGGGTCTCACGAGTGCGCTGCTGCTGCTGGCGCTGACCACCACCAAACCCGCCCCGCTGCACAGAGCCACCCCGACCAGCTCCACCACCGCCGCCGCCACCGCCACCACCGCTACCGCCGCCTCCTCTGCTCCCACCGCCGCCTCCGCCTCCACCGCCACCACCGAAGCCCCCACCCCCGCCACCACTCCCACCGCCACCCCCACCCCCTCCGCCGCCTCCACCGCCACCTACACTGCCCCCGCAAGCTCCTCCAGCGCCCCTCCCCCCCTTGCCCTTGCCGTTGCGGCGTCTCCCGCTAGGGGCAGACGCAGCGCCGACCGACTCGGTGCCAACGAGGTCGACCGCAGCAGCAGAGGCAACAGAGGGCAAAAGGGGGGAGGGGGAGCACCCCTCAAAGAAGGGGGCACGAGGGTCACCACGAGAGGCTCCTACAGCGACTATACTCTTCTCAGCTGCAAGGAGGCGCTCCCCGAGGAGGTCAACGATGAGTGTGGTGGGGCAAACAGAGAGGAAGTGGTCCCTGACCGAGCGAAGGGAGTCAAGGAGCTGGGTGACTAGGTAGTAGAGGGTGATGTACATGGGGGGGGGGGGTTCTTGGCGCAGAACTCGGCAGGAAGTGCAGCGCGGTAGCGGGTGTCACTAGTGCGAAGGTGCGTTATGAGGTCAGCGACTATGGGAAAGGCAGCAAGGTTAGGGAACAAGTACGGCAGCATGAGGCGATTAAGGGCAGCAATGGCAGGGGAAGAGTAGCGTGCAACTACAGCGTCGTACAAGGTCTTAGCACTCTTGTACTGACTAAAGTGCGCGCGCTCAGTGGACGGCAGGTGACTACGCACAGCAAGACGGGTAGTAGCATCGCATGTGGCCCACTTTGAGTAAACAGTATTGTCAGCATCGGCAGCAGGGGCAGCAGAGGCGTCAGACGTGAGATCGAACAATGAGATACCATCTTTTCTATCGCACTGCAGGAAAAGCTGCATATCATCGACCCAGACCTCAAAGTCGACAGCCCGACCCTCAGCATCAAAGGTGAGCACACTTCGGGTAGCCATGACAGCAGCAGCAGCAGGCTAGCAGTGGCAGCAGCAGGTTAGGAGCAACTCAGCAAGAGAGGCGCGACTCGGTGGTTCTCTTACCAGGGGCGGGTGGGTAGAGGTCCGCAAGCGGTGGGGCAGTGCCGAGGCGCGCCGGCAGGGACAGGGCCGCGTCAGGGCGGTAGAGGAGTGCCGCGCCTCCGCTGCAGGGCAGGCCCGGGACGGCGGCGGTGGCTGTCACGGCACCGGCAGCGGCGGTTGTCTCAGCACGAGCGGCGGCGGCTGTCACGGCAGCAGCGGCGGCGGCGACCGGTCGTAAAAGAAGCAGCAGCGGTAGCAGGCACGACGGCAGCTGCTGCTGGGGCGGCGACGGCGGGGCGGCAGGGCCGTGAAGAGCCGGGGAGGGGCCGCTAAGGGGCCGCGACGAGCCGCGAAGGAGCCGCGGAGGGGCCGTGAAGGAGCCGCGAAGGGCCGCGGAGGGGTCGCGAAGGGGCTGCTAAGGGCGGCGAAGGGGCCTAGAAGGGGCCGTGAAGGGGCCGCGAAGGGCGGCGACGGCGCCGAGAAGGGCGGCGAAGGTGCCACGAGGGGCCGCGAAGGGGCCGCGAGGGGCCGCGAAGGGCGGCGAAGGGGCCGCGAGGGGCCGCGAGGGGCCGCGAAGGGCCGTGAGAGGGGCCACGAAGGGCCACGAAGGGGTCGCGAGGGAGCCGCAAAGGGGCCGCGAAGGGCTGTGAGAGGGGCCGCGAAGGGGCCTTAAGAGGGGCGTGACGGGCCGCTAAGGGCAGGGGACGCGACGGGAGGGCAGGCACACGGGGCGCGACTATGGCACGCGCGAAGCGCGCTCCGGGCAGGTGAAAAAAAACAAAATCGTTTTAGTGGTGGGCCCAAGGAAACGTTCCCACTAGGGAACTTGCTCTATACCATGTGAAATAATGAGAAATGAATGAACTAGGAAAGTGTGTGATACAAATATGAAACCCTAGAAACCTGTACCCCTTATTGTGTACCCCACTAGAGCCTACAAACACTATGTCATATGTATCTGACAAGTGCAACCAGCGGAAACTACTGAAGAGATGGGGAAGGTGACCGTAGACCCGAAGGATGAGTTAGAGTGCTGTTGAAGTCTCTGAAGCGAGAGGTGGACGAAATGAGGCGCGCGATGGCGAAGGGGGCGCTGGAGGTGATAGGAATGGCGGGAACCACGGCGCTGGCAGTGCCGCGGCACGAGAGGCAGGAGAGGACGCGGACGGCCTTCCAGCAAAGCCGCCGCCGAAGGGCAACGCGCTTATGGCCCTGGTGGAGGCCATGATCACAGCGCGGGTGAAGGACGTGCGGGACGAGCTTGATTCGCTAGTGAAGGGATTGAAGGAGCAGGTGGAGGCGGCGAGAGGCAAGGCGAGAGACGCGGCAAGCGAGATGAGGGCGGTCATCAAGCGGCAGGAGGCGGAATTAGCGGACGTGAAGGGGACTTCAGCGCACATTGCGGCGCAAATGAATGACGTGGATCTGGCGGTGGCGGGGTGAAAGAGCACGCGGGAGCAGTGCGACGAGCGCAGCTACGGCAGCTCAGGGGAGCATGCAGAGGCGGAGGGCCGCGAGGGGAAAAAGAGGAAGAGGGAGGAGGCTGGGAGGGGGGACGAAATGGCATGTTCAGGTGATTCTGCACACACTGCTGCTCGCGGAATGTATGAGCTATAATGTATAAGCTATAATGTATAAGCTATAATGTTCTGACACACCCTCATAGGCAAAGTGGGGGAGAACAAGCGGTCACAAGACCAGTCAAGCAAAGCAAAGCAAGCTCAGGGTGGATCACAAAGTCACCACACATTCCAAGCACAAGAGTAAGGCCACAAGGCCAGTTCACATGCAAGAACATATATATAAAGGTAAACAAGCAAGTGCAGGTATAGAAAGAGGATAGTCCAAACAAGATCAAGAAGTGAGCAAGTGAGGCCAGGTAGGCACAAGACCTAGCAAAGTACAGAAGCGCTGATGATCACAAGGCGGAAGGGGCATGGTGAATATATCAGCAGTGTTGGCCTCAGAGGCCACGTAGGTGAGGCGGAGCTGACCACGCTGCTGCAGCTCACGAGCCAGGAAGTAGCGGAGAGCAATGTGCTTCGTTCTGTGCTCCAGTCTGTGCTCCCGACACAAGGCCAGCATGGCCTTGTTGTCTACGTACAGAACTAGAGGAGAACGAGGCGGCTCTCCTAGGTCAGTCAGCAGTTAGGTGAGCCACCGTAGCTCCTGTGCAGCCATGGCCCATGCGTAAATCTCAGCCTCACAACTGGAGCTGAGAACAGAGGACGAGCGGGTAGACCGCCACGAAACAGAGCCGGAGCCAAGGCTGAAGGTGTAACCCTGTGACGACCGCTGCAGAGCCTGGTCGTCAGCCCAAGAAGTGTCAGCGTGACCTGTGAGGACTACTCGACGTCGCCCTCCAAGCACTAGCCCCATGCCCGACGTACTCCACACGTAGCGCAACACCCTCTTCACTGCAGGCATGTGCTCTGGACTGTGTCTCCCAGGAGCAACATAGCGTGCCAAGATGCTAAGAGGGTATGCAAGGTCAGGTCGAGTCCAGGTCATCAGGTACATGAGGCAGCCAACAAGCTCTGGGTACGGGCCACTCGACTCTACGCACTCATCCGAAGGCAAAACTAAGAGCGAGTGGCGAGTAGACAGAGGAGTGGCCTGAGGCGAGGAGTACGTGAAGCCGAAGCGCTGAAGGACCTGCTGCACCATGTGTGACTGAGTCAGGGTAATGGTGTGCTGTGCTCTGTCCCGGGTGATCTGCAAGCCTAGGTAGCTGCGCAGTTCACCCAGGTCTGTGCACGTGTGTCTCTTTCTGCAGCTCGGACTTCACTTGGGCAAGTCCAGCAGTGTCCGCAGTGGCAAAGACCAAGTCGTCGACGTACACGAGGATGTAGAATGACGGCAGAGAGGTGTCGGTGCGCAGAAACAGCGACGGGTCGGCTGTAGAAGGAGCAAACCCAAGAGCCGCAAGTATAGTCCTCAGTGTGTCGTGCCACTTACGGGGAGCCTGGCGGAGACCGTAGACTGGCCGCTGGAGGCTCCACTGGGTACCAGGAGGAAACGACCCAGTGAAGCCAGGGGGGCGGCGCAGCCAGATCTCCTCGTGCAGGCTACCCTGCAGGAAAGCTGTGCTGAAGTCAAGAGAGTGAAGCTCGTAGTCGCGCTGAGCGGCTATGTGCAGCAGCACCCGAAGAGTGGTCATCTTCGGGTAGGGAGAGAAGGTGTGAAAGTAGTCAACTCCGTGCCGCTGACTGAAGCCTCGAGCCACGTAACGCGCCTTGAAGACAGGCGGAGAGCTCCCCGGCCGCTTCACCCTGAAAATCTACATGCCACTGAAGATGTTCGCCCCAGGTGGGGGAACCTCGTCAACGTAGGTGCCTGTGGACTTTCAAGAAGCCATCTCTGCGTCCATGGCCGACTGCCACTGAGAGGAGTAGGGACTCTCGATCGCCTCAGCGTACGATCGAGGAGGCGGGATGTCTGGTGCATCCGGGTCTCCCTCAGGGGCAATCAGCGTGGACACGAGATGGGGCAAAGCAGCCGCAAAGCACTGGAACTCCTCCTGCCTGTCCTCAAGGACGTCCGTGCTAAGAGCACACTCACCCCCGACGGACGGAGGACAGACAGACTCAGACTCAGCAACAAGACTAGCAGCGTAGTCTAGACGACAGCGAGCAGCGAAGTCGACAAGCTCAGCAACTAGAGCAGACGTAGTAGTGGACTCAAAGGAAGGGTCAGTGACGACAGTAGCAAGAAGGCGCGTGACCGAAGGACTAGCAGCACGAAGGGAGTCAGACTCCGGGTCACCAAGAGAAGGAAGAGAGGACTCTGGAGGAGACAGCAACGGGACACGCAGAGGAGCAGTGGAAGGATGCAGTGCCATCTGGTGTGTGCCGGGGACCGCAGGAGGACGCGGACGTGTAGTACGACCACTAGTGCGAGCAGCACGAACAGGCGACGCAGGACGAGACGCAGGCTCACGACGCTCAGCAAGACCTCCAGTAGGACCACTATAGGGAGAAGGAGTAGGAAGAGGCTGGAACTGTGACTGCGACTGGACAGGCGGTGGACACTCTAAGGGAGGAGCAGGACCAGTAGAGGGCGGGAGACCAAGAACCTGCTCAAGGAGCGGAACGAAGTACGGCCTCGGCCGCGTAGCGCCTCCAGAACCAGCAAGGACGGCACCAGTGCCCCCAGCGGCAGCACCAGCGCCAGCAGCACCTCCAGCTCCAACAGCGCCAACTCCAGCACCCGCAGGAGCACTAACGCCAGCAGCACCGTGAGCGCCAACACCCCCAGCAGCTCCAGCTCCAGCAGCACCAACTCAAGTAGGACCGTAAGCACCAGCAGCCTCAGCACCACCACCAGACGCACCAGCACCAGTAGAAAAACCAGCGCCAACACCCCCAGCAGCTCCACCTCCAGCAGAACCAGCACCCACAGCAGCTCCAGCTGGACCAACTCCAGTAACTCCAGCAGCACCCCCAGACTCAGCAGCACGTCTCCAGCGGCGGGCGAACCACTCGCGTAGCTCCTGTGGAGAGAGCGGCTCCCGCCTCGACGAAGCACCGCCGGCGGCCACAAGAGCAGACCCAGCACCCCCAGGCTCCGCACCCCCAGGCTCAGCACCCCCAGGCTCAGCACCCCCAGTCTCAGCACCCCCAGACCTAGCACCGCCAGACCCGGCACCCGCAGGCTCAGCACCTCTAGCAGCACCAGAGTCAACAGCTACCTCGACGGGCTCGACTGCGTCTACCTGGGACACACCTGACGGGGCAGGACCCTGAGGGGGGAGGGGGTCTATCTGGGTAGCACCTAAGGCAAGGAAGAGCGGCGGCGGGGGGAGGGGCGCAGTGCGGTAGGGGAAGAGACGGTAGTAAGGCACCGACTCGTCAAAGGTGACGTCCTGGGAGGACAGAACCCGGCGCGAGGTGGGGTGGTAAAACTGCCACCCAGGCGGGTCAGGGGGGAAGCCAAGGAAGACGCAGGGAACAGCACGGGGGGACAGCTTGTCCGCAGACAAGTCGCGGACAAACGCCTAAGATCCCCAGACCCGAAACGCAGACGCATCGCCAACCTTCCCGGTCCACCGCAAGGCGGGGGAGGTCTCTGGCAAGGAGACCCGGGGCTGAAGGTTGAGCTGATGCGCGGCGTACTGAACCGCAAACGGCCACAGAAAATGGGGGGCAGCCGCATGCATCATGGACGTACGAGCGACGTCCATGACCATGCCAATGCGGCGCTCAGCAATCCCATTTTGCTGTGGAGAGGCCGGAAGCGTGAAGGTCTGGCGGATGCCCTGTGCACGACAGAAGGCTCCCAGACGGGCAGAGGAAAACTCCCCGCCTCTATCCGAGTGCAGACACAGAACTTGAAAGTCCGAGCCGGAACTCTCTCTGAGCTGGAGACGAGCTGCGCGGATCCAGTCGATCAACACCTCAGTGACGTCACCCTTGCTGTGCAAGGGGAAGACTGTGGTGTAACGCGAGTAGTCGTCAACGACCAGCAGAAAGTACCGCTCTCGCCCCTGCCCGCTGACGCGGGCTGGGCCCCACACGTCCATATGGAGAGTCTCCAGCGGAGCCTCTGTCGGAGGAAACTCGGAGGAGTGAGGGGCGGCCCGCTGTCGCCCCTCAACGCAGGAGACGCAGGTGGGGCCAGGCCCCGGAGGAAGGGGAGGGAGAGACCGAGGGAGACCAGAGACAAGGACACGGGAGGCCATGCCTCGGAGACGAGGCAAGGAGGGGTGGCCAAGGCGGTGGTGCCAAAGGAGAGTCTGGTGGGACACTAGACGACACGAGCAAGGGGCAGACTCAGGACCAGACCTGGACGCCGCAGCAAACACCTGATTCGACGTAGCTACCTCGGCGGACTCAGCAGCAGGAGACTCAGTAGTAAGGGTGTACAGGCTCGACCCTGGCCGACGGGTGTACGTGGCCAAGTGTCGGCCTGTCCGAGCACACGTGCAGTGGGTCACTCGCTGACTCGCAGGAGTGAACTGGTCAACCACTCGATCCTGTAGGTCCGCTCCACTCACCAATTTCGTAGAGAATGAGGGGAGGTAGAGACCTGACAGGGTGCCAGTGTGGGCTGCTGGGCACGGAAGGACAGTGGAGAAGCTAGCAAGGACACGACCCCCAGAGGGGTCTGCCAGGGAGACTGCAACCGGCCGACTGAGCGGCGTAAGAGTGGTGCGGTCTCGAAAGAAGGAGCGGGACACACCCGAGTCCAGGGTGAAGGTGTGGAAGGCCTGAGCCGATGTAGTACCTGAGAGAGCAGACTCACCAGAACCTGGGGCGGCAGACGCACTGGAACCTGGGGCAGCAGACGCACTAGTACCTAGAGTAGCAGCCTCACCAGTACCTAGACTAGTAGCCTCAATGCCCGGGTCAGGTGGTACGCATAGGTAACAGTCACCAGCAACACTAGTATCAACAGCATA